TAATTTCGGTGGCAAATACGCAACTGCGTTTGGTTTATATGGAAAACATTTTTTAGAACGTACTTTGCAAGGTATTACAGGGAATTCGCAAGCCATATACCCTAATTCAGAAAAACCTAGCAAGCCTATAGAGTGGTTCACAGAAGCTAAAAAACGTCGAAAAGGTAATTTTTAGTGATTTCGGAACATATAGAGCTTTTTTAAAAAAGTTGAACTTTTTTGAACTTTGAACTTTTTTGTCCAAAAATGCTCAAAAATCATTGAATTATGTATATTTGAGTATCCCTAGTGTTTTCTGTAAGTTTTGAGCAAAAAAAAATTTTTGTTGTAAAATCGACCGAAAAAACGTAGGTAGTATGCACCAGTCGGACAATACAATGATTTCTGTATTTTACACGAAAACCTTTAAAAAATCGTAGAAAATAGAGTTTTAAAGATACAGACTTGGTACGTCTACACGTGAAAGCCCCTAGCAATACACTCAATTTAAGATAATAATATTATGAACTTTGAGCTTTTTTGAACTTTTATGTACAACTTTGAGCTTTTTCATTAAAAAAATTTTTTTTGTTTAGAATTGATTTCCGACTCATATGTGGAAAAGAATACCGACACAACAATGTCCGGAGCTGAACGAAATGCCACAGAGTCCGGAGACAAACGTACTGTTGATGAAGCTGGTATCGATCCTGGAGGAAATGCATCAAAAAAGTCAAATAATCCCACAGCGTCAGCCCTCACTGCCGGCACGAATATTCCGGGTATCGGGCCTAATTCTGATGCTGGTGACAGTAACGCTGTCGGTATGCTACACATGGTTATACCTAGACCCATCGACGATACGAAAAATAGGTCTTTGGTCTTTTCAAAAAATCATGAGTTTCTATCGTACGGAATACAATGGAAGCCTATTAAACACACTGGCAATGCATTTTGGGGAACAACCTCTCTAGCGGAAATTCCGGTCGACCGTTGTCATTTGTATTTAACGTACGACGAAATTGAAATGTTACCGGTCGGGTGCTATATCGAAAAAGTTATTTGCAAAGTAATTTTACGTGGGGCACGCACAGCATACGAAACAGCTACAACTCAATCGGAATTGGCCACTCTTAATCAAAATAAATGGGGAGTGTACGCTATAGGTCTTAATAAAACTGTTCCGGGTGTCACCAAAAAATACACTACCGTTGCGTCAAATTCCATGGAACCGCAAGCGGTGTCCAATTCAGCGCCCGAGACGTATTCTAAACAACACGACGCTTGGTACTCTAGTACTAATAAACCACAGGACAATTTGCCGTGCAGTTTCATGAATTTACCTACTGTGCTGCAAAACTATTACACGTTATACACCGATACGGACAATCAGGCCGGCTATCAGTGGCCTAGATTGAACAGACATTTGCAAAAGTTTGATTTAAACGCTGCTGTGGGCACTCAAATTGTACAATACGAGTACAGTCCTAAAATAAGTTTGTTGAGAAAACCTTTTAACAGTCATCAGACGTTTCATTGGCCGGACACCGGTAACAGCAATTATATTCAATGTGAACAAGCCGATTATTTTTGCCCCAACGGTTCAGCAATTACGCAATTTAAACGAGATAAATATTGTACAACATACATAAATCAAAAACCAAAGGAACTTATGACCGTCACGGAAAAATCCAAAAGTTGGTCTTACGTAGAATCTAGTCGTCATATATCACTAATAGAGCTATCACATGTGCTTATACAAAAAAAGTCCAATTACACGCCGTCCGAGGCCCAGCCATCGTTACATGTAGGTGTTTATCCGGTGCCACGGGTAACAGCAAAGGACAATATTGTAGTGCCAACGAAATTTTTAGACATCGAAGCTTACTACACCGTCGAAACGACCTGCATAGTTAAATTCGGTTACCCTACTGCCTTGGCACGATTTAAAAATTGCAACGTTAACGTTGAAAATGAAATGTTTACGATGGGTGTTGACGCTGGTGTAGCCGAAGCGGACGGGAATTACTCTACGTGTTACGGTAGACACTCTCTGAAACAANGGCTGATCGGTCACTCCGCCCATACCGCCACCTGTGGCAGTGAATGTACACTACACTGTCGTCGTGTCGTCGTCGTCGAAACCTATGAAGGTTTGAGCAAGCATCCAGCATGATTAATAAATGCAGGTGAATGCACTCGTTAATGCAAATACGTTTCATGGCATTAACGCTAGTAATAAATAATAAGTAGTTGTTGATAATGACATATGTAAATTTCCAAGAAATATAAAAACGAGTATAATTATTTTATTGCGCAGTATGAGGAAAACAACTTTTTAAAATATAAAGTGTATTAGTATAAAAGGTTAGTGTTCGCATTAAATTGCGGATAATGCAAGTGTATACTACTGCACTTGGCACGTACCGTGATTATATTAACAAACAAAATACGGGAAAAAACGGCGGTTTGACGTGGTTAGGACACGATTTCTCGGGACCGGGTAATAAAGTCGCTAATGAAAAAAATCAATTTATTGCTGAAAGCTTGCCAACGAACGAAGTAGATTGGATCGCATTAGAACACGACGTACAATATCATAACGCTGGCAGTGGTAATATCGATGAAATAGGAAATTACGACCTGCAAGCAGCGGAGAGGTCGTTGAACGTAAAAAATTCTAATTTCGGTGGCAAATACGCAACTGCGTTTGGTTTATATGGAAAACATTTTTTAGAACGTACTTTGCAAGGTATTACAGGGAATTCGCAAGCCATATACCCTAATTCAGAAAAACCTAGCAAGCCTATAGAGTGGTTCACAGAAGCTAAAAAACGTCGAAAAGGTAATTTTTAGTGATTTCGGAACATATAGAGCTTTTTTAAAAAAGTTGAACTTTTTTGAACTTTGAACTTTTTTGTCCAAAAATGCTCAAAAATCATTGAATTATGTATATTTGAGTATCCCTAGTGTTTTCTGTAAGTTTTGAGCAAAAAAAAATTTTTGTTGTAAAATCGACCGAAAAAACGTAGGTAGTATGCACCAGTCGGACAATACAATGATTTCTGTATTTTACACGAAAACCTTTAAAAAATCGTAGAAAATAGAGTTTTAAAGATACAGACTTGGTACGTCTACACGTGAAAGCCCCTAGCAATACACTCAATTTAAGATAATAATATTATGAACTTTGAGCTTTTTTGAACTTTTATGTACAACTTTGAGCTTTTTCATTAAAAAAATTTTTTTTGTTTAGAATTGATTTCCGACTCATATGTGGAAAAGAATACCGACACAACAATGTCCGGAGCTGAACGAAATGCCACAGAGTCCGGAGACAAACGTACTGTTGATGAAGCTGGTATCGATCCTGGAGGAAATGCATCAAAAAAGTCAAATAATCCCACAGCGTCAGCCCTCACTGCCGGCACGAATATTCCGGGTATCGGGCCTAATTCTGATGCTGGTGACAGTAACGCTGTCGGTATGCTACACATGGTTATACCTAGACCCATCGACGATACGAAAAATAGGTCTTTGGTCTTTTCAAAAAATCATGAGTTTCTATCGTACGGAATACAATGGAAGCCTATTAAACACACTGGCAATGCATTTTGGGGAACAACCTCTCTAGCGGAAATTCCGGTCGACCGTTGTCATTTGTATTTAACGTACGACGAAATTGAAATGTTACCGGTCGGGTGCTATATCGAAAAAGTTATTTGCAAAGTAATTTTACGTGGGGCACGCACAGCATACGAAACAGCTACAACTCAATCGGAATTGGCCACTCTTAATCAAAATAAATGGGGAGTGTACGCTATAGGTCTTAATAAAACTGTTCCGGGTGTCACCAAAAAATACACTACCGTTGCGTCAAATTCCATGGAACCGCAAGCGGTGTCCAATTCAGCGCCCGAGACGTATTCTAAACAACACGACGCTTGGTACTCTAGTACTAATAAACCACAGGACAATTTGCCGTGCAGTTTCATGAATTTACCTACTGTGCTGCAAAACTATTACACGTTATACACCGATACGGACAATCAGGCCGGCTATCAGTGGCCTAGATTGAACAGACATTTGCAAAAGTTTGATTTAAACGCTGCTGTGGGCACTCAAATTGTACAATACGAGTACAGTCCTAAAATAAGTTTGTTGAGAAAACCTTTTAACAGTCATCAGACGTTTCATTGGCCGGACACCGGTAACAGCAATTATATTCAATGTGAACAAGCCGATTATTTTTGCCCCAACGGTTCAGCAATTACGCAATTTAAACGAGATAAATATTGTACAACATACATAAATCAAAAACCAAAGGAACTTATGACCGTCACGGAAAAATCCAAAAGTTGGTCTTACGTAGAATCTAGTCGTCATATATCACTAATAGAGCTATCACATGTGCTTATACAAAAAAAGTCCAATTACACGCCGTCCGAGGCCCAGCCATCGTTACATGTAGGTGTTTATCCGGTGCCACGGGTAACAGCAAAGGACAATATTGTAGTGCCAACGAAATTTTTAGACATCGAAGCTTACTACACCGTCGAAACGACCTGCATAGTTAAATTCGGTTACCCTACTGCCTTGGCACGATTTAAAAATTGCAACGTTAACGTTGAAAATGAAATGTTTACGATGGGTGTTGACGCTGGTGTAGCCGAAGCGGACGGGAATTACTCTACGTGTTACGGTAGACACTCTCTGAAACAAGTAGACGCGGAAAACTGATATCGGCGGCCGTTTTTACTACTGTTCGTGAAAATTTGGCCGCCAAAAAAAAACAAAAATCTTCTACAACTACTGCATCTCCCGTCACACTTACTACACCCACCAGTGATATCACTATCGGACCTTCAACTGCAGCCACTACTACTACTAGTACTACTACGGTGAAGCCAGCGTCCACTACAAGAGCAACGGATGCAGCCAGAAGCGACGATACCGATTATGTTCCATCAGAGTATATACCAGATACTCAAGACCGATTTTATTTCGATGGTTACGGCGCTTTGTATTTTGTCGGTGTATTGTCGGACGACCAGTGGAACACATACAGAGTGGCCAGTACCAGCAGAAAAGCCAGTCAAGACGAAATAAATAAAATAACAGCTATGTACTTCCCTGGTGTTGAAAATGGTGATCAACTAGCCAATAAGTATAATTATGTAAATAAAAAAGGACGGTATAATCCTATGTATAACTTATTAAAAAATAAAAGACCATAATTACAAATATTTTTTGCGTTTATTATTTACATATATATACATATTTATAATAATTTAAATTTCTGTAAAAGTAAGTAAAACATTTTAGGATTAAGTTTTCCTTTGTATTGTCGCAGAAATGGTGCAGCCTTCCATTCGTACTGACAAATTCTACTCTCAAAGGCAGGGTCAGAAAACAAAGGAATAAAGTGATTAGTGAGAATAATTACTGGAGGACCCTGTATGTCTTGATCCCCCAAATATTTAACTCGAATTTTAGCACTATCACCGCCCAACAACATTTTAAGCGTTTCGGTCTCGTTGGACTCGTAGTTGGGTTCGTTCCATAGAACTAGCCGCCTGTTGTCCATGTCTTGATAACCGAACNCTGTTATCCATGTCCTGATAACCAAACGGTGAATGTTTGTTTAGCGTAGAAATTATGCCATAATTTAAAAAATAGGAGCAGACGGCGTCAAAAAAAAAGTTCTTCCCGGCATTAGGAGGAGACAGTACCGATAATGTATTGCGTTTTGGGACGTTCTTTTCGACCACATCGTACAAATCGTAAATAAATTTATGTATCCTCTCGAAATCGTCGTCGAACTGATACACTAACAGTTCGACGGCTATATCGAGAGATTCCTCCGGTGTATAGTAAAACGAAGATTTACAATTTGTAAACGCGTAAAGATTGAAATACGGTCGAACACCAGGTGAACAATAATAGTCCCAAAATTGTTGAACGCTCCATTGATTCAATATTATAGCCCAATTTTTAACTATTACAATAAGATCGCGATCATTTCCGTTAATATACTTAGTGTGGTTATTATTTATAAATTCGATTGTTTTGTTAACCGCGTTTATGGGACATGTCGGGTACATTCGTATTAAAATTTCGATTTCTCGTTGTTTTCGTTTTCTACCTTTTAAAAACGTATTGTCAGCAGAGCCACCGGTTTTTAACAGCAAATCAATTATTTCCTTTCGTATTTCATAATTTTTTTCCGACGTGTTGCAGGATTGTTCGACAACTGGCGTGTCACCGAGGCAACGAGACGGTCGATTAGTTTCCCTTGCTCCGAAAGGCTCTCCGTACACGTCCCCGTCATTTTGATGTGCGCTCTCTTCCACCATTCGCTTTTGTCTAGTCCCCTGACGTCCCGTCTGCGATAACATTTCATTTCCCATAGGAGGTCTTCTGGTTCTACCTATAGCCAGTGGTATGTTTTTATGAATATAAAATTTTTAAAAATACATACCTCCAACGATAAGGCGCTCGATACTTCGGCCACCGCTAAGGAAATATCGTAGGATATTTTGCCATCCTTCGGTGTCGACGTCAGCCGCTCGAACATTTCTCGCCAGTTGCTGCCGTCTTGTGTCCCGGTAGGACTCGCTGCCACGTAACCACGAACATCGGCAGCTTGAGTTGGAGCTGGTGCACACATGATTGACGTGGACGTGGTCTGCATGCCGCGCAATGAGTACAAAGTCGATGGACGAGCCGTGGGAGATGACATATCGCAGTCCTGTCTCCAAGTCTGCCACGATACTATCGAGTCCACTAATTGAATCGGGGACAAAAATCCACGAATAGTATCGCTTAGTCCTTGGGCCAACCATGCATCTAGCGTACAACTGACCGGCTTGTTCTGCCAGCCAATTGTTAATGTCCTGGAGAACTGTGCCGCCGCGCCACGCAGGGCCTCCAGGAGCGAGATAGTGGTTGTGCAGTCTGTCAGTGTCGTCTGCACTTGTGTGTCTCTCCACGACTGTGGTGGTTGTAATTTCTGTAGTAACTTGGTGAGACCCATTGGCGTTATTACTCCGTAATGGTGATTGTTGGCCAGGTACAGGAGTAATATATGGACCGGCAGCAAGTCTGCGTTGCCGGAGACGTGCAAGCACGCCGACAAAGCCAGTACCTGTAAAGCAAAAATATTAATAGAAATACGTTACTGTTATTGTACTAATATTTTTACTTACCAAATCTGTCACGTCCATGTCTATCTGTTTCTGTCGAAGTTGCTGCAGATTCTTCCATGTGGAATGCAAAAATAAATTTTTATAGGTTCTAACCTGTTCTGTCCAACAGGGATCCGTAAAAAGTTCTCGTTTAGCCGTACCAACAACACTGTCAAGTGTAAAATCCGTACTACAATCGTCGTTGCTATCCGTACACGGTTCGTCTATTCCGTCAATTTTGCTGTTGTTTTGTGTGAAAATATCTAAATTTTCTTCCACAGGTAATCCTTGAGAGCAATCTTCTTGCTGAGAAGTCATAATATAAATTACGAGTACTGCGAGTCTAAAATGTAATAACAAACACGAGCACACTGATTTTCATAGACGTTCGTTATTGTATTTATATACGCGGTATTAGTACCAGGAACTAATGCGCTCTCTACAATAAACTGTTGCCAATAAACGCATTTGCATTAACGAGTGCATTCACCTGCATTTATTAATCATGCTGGATGCTTGCTCAAACCTTCATAGGTTTCGACGACGACGACACGACGACAGTGTAGTGTACATTCACTGCCACAGGTGGCGGTATGGGCGGAGTGACCGATCAGCCAACTGATGCTCTGGGCGGACGCGCGGATACGGCTGATCGGTCACTCCGCCCATACCGCCACCTGTGGCAGTGAATGTACACTACACTGTCGTCGTGTCGTCGTCGTCGAAACCTATGAAGGTTTGAGCAAGCATCCAGCATGATTAATACATGCAGGTGAATGCACTCGTTAATGCAAATGCGTTTATTAGCAACGTTAGTAATAAATAACTAGTTGTTGATAATGACATATGTAAATTTCCAAGAAATATAAAAACGAGTATAATTATTTTATTGCGCAGTATGAGGAAAACAACTTTTTAAAATATGAATTGTATTAGTATAAAAGGTCAGTATTCGCATTAAATTGCGGATAATGCAAGTGTATACTACTGCACTTGGCACGTACCGCGATTATATTAACAAACAAAATACGGGAAAAAACGGCGGTTTGACGTGGTTAGGACACGATTTCTCGGGACCGGGTAATAAAGTCGCTAATGAAAAAAATCAATTTATTGCTGAAAGCTTGCCAACGAACGAAGTAGATTGGATCGCATTAGAACACGACGTACAATATCATAACGCGGGCAGTGGTAATATCGAGGAAATAGGAAATTACGACCTGCAAGCAGCGGAGAGGTCGTTGAACGTAAAAAATTCTAATTTCGGTGGCAAATACGCAACTGCGTTTGGTTTATATGGAAAACATTTTTTAGAACGTACTTTGCAAGGTATTACAGGAAATTCGCAAGCCATATACCCTAATTCAGAAAAACCTAGCAAACCTATAGAGTGGTTCACCGAAGCTAAAAAACGTCGAAAAGGTAATTTTTATTGATTTTGAAACATATGGAGCTTTTTTTAAAAAGTTGAACTTTTTTGAACTTTGAACTTTTTTGTCTAAAAATGCTCAAAAATCATTATTTTACGTATATTTAAGTGTCCCGAGTGTTTTCTGTAAGTTTCGAGCAAAAAAAAATTTTTGTTGTAAAATCGACCAAAAAAACGTAGGTAGTATACACCAGTCGGATAATATACTGATTTCTGTATTTTACACGAAAACCTTTAAAAAATCGTAGAAAATAGAGTTTTAAAGATACAGAGTTGGTACGTCTACACGTGAAAGCCCCTAGAAATACACTCAATATAAGATAATAATATTATGAACTTTGAGCTTTTTTGAACTTTTATGTACAACTTTGAGCTTTTCCAATAAAAAAATTTTTTTTGTTTAGAATTGATTTCCGACTCATATGTGGAAAAGAATACCGACGCAACAATGTCCGGAGCAGAACGAAATGCCACAGAGTCCGGAGACAAACGTACTGTTGATGAAGCTGGTATCGATCCTGGAGGAAATGCACCGAAAAAGTCAAATAATCCCACAGCGTCAGCCCTCACTGCCGGCACGAATATTCCGGGTATCGGGCCTAATTCTGATGCTGGCGACAATAACACTGTCGGTATGCTACACATGGTTATACCTAGACCCATCGACGATACAAAAAATAGGTCTTTGGTCTTTTCAAAAAATCATGAGTTTTTATCGTACGGAATACAATGGAAGCCTATTAAACACACTGGCAATGCATTTTGGGGAACAACCTCTCTAGCTGAAATTCCGGTCGACCGTTGCCATTTGTATTTAACGTACGACGAAATTGAAATGTTGCCGGTCGGTTGCTATATCGAAAAAGTTATTTGCAAAGTAATTTTACGTGGGGCACGCACAGCGTACGAAACAGCTACAACTCAATCAGAGTTGGCCACTCTTAATCAAAATAAATGGGGAGTGTACGCTATAGGTCTTAATAAAACTGTCCCGGGAGTCACCAAAAAATACACTACCGTTGCGTCAAATTCCATGGAACCGCAATCGGTGTCCAATTCAGCGCCCGAGACGTATTCTAAACAACACGACGCTTGGTACTCTAATACTAACAAACCACAGGATAATTTGCCGTGTAGTTT